CACACACACACACACACACACACACACACACACACACACACACACACACACCTTTTTGAGTTTCATTAATCACACCCAGATCTGATTACTGCCAGACCCTCATGAATTAATAAAATTATTAGCCAAAGACAAATAGAGTAAAGACAAAAATTCTTTTTTAAAAATGGTTATTTCATTTATTGAGTCATTCTGTCATTCAAAGTCAGTCTGAAAAGGGTTACAAAGTTACTTTGAAGGTTGGGGGACTCCAGGAAACCACCATTACACCCATTATCCACAGATGGAGAGACCTTGGAGCAGTGGTGAACCTTCCCAGGAGTGGCCGGCTTACCTATTCCAAGAGTGCATCAATGACTCATCCAGGAGGTCACACAAGAACCCAAAACAACATCTAGAGAACTGCAGGCCTCACTTCCCTCAGTTAAGATTCGAGTTCATGATTCAACAATAAGAAAAAGATGCAAAAATGGCATTCATAGGAGAGTTTCAAGGAGAAAAACACTGCTAACCACAAAGAAGACACTTGATTCATATCTGCCAAAAAACATTTTGATGACCCCCAAGACTTTGGGGAAAATTAAACCATGAATTCTGCTCTCTGCCAAAAAATTTTGAAAGAGAATGTCCAGCCATCAGTTGTTACCCTTAAGCTCAAGCACACTTGGGCAATACAGCGGGACAATGAACTGAAACACATCAGTAAGTCCACCTCTGAATGACTATAAAATAAAAAGAAAAAAAGAAAAACATCAGGCATTGGAGAGCACTATTCAAAATCTGGACTTAAATCCGAATGAGATCGTTGGTATGACCTTAAACAGGCTGTTCATGCTCAAAAACCCTCCAATGTGGCTGATTTAAGAAGAGTGGGACAAAAATTCTGCACTGTGGAAGACTCACTGATAGTTACTGCAAATACTTGATTGCAGTTCTTGCTTCCAGGGGTGGTAAAACCAGTTATTAAGTTGAGGGTGCAATTACTTTTTCACATGGGCTAGGTAGCTTTGGGTAGACATTCTTCCCCTTATCAAATGATGTCATCCTTTAAAAACTGCCTTTTGTATTTCCTCCAGTTATCTTTGTCTAATAGTAAAATTTCTAAAACAAGTTTGGCAAATATGCAAAAGAAAGAAAGAAAGAAAGAAAGAAAGAAAGAAAGAAAGAAAGAAAGAAAGAAAGAAAGAAAATAAATCTGGAAGGAGCAGATACTTTTTCACTGCACTGTAGAATGATAGCAGTCTGGAGTCACAGATGTATTCTCCAAATAAAATAACAGGATTAATACAAGATTTGTTGATATAGAGCACAAGTTTCACAGTGACACTTGATGATGCCATGAAAATGCTTACTTGCTTATTGTAACAAATTAGGTGTGTAATTTGACAGTGTTGACTCCAAGACCTTAACTAGCCAATTGTAAGAGGTGCTACACTACACTGTGGAGAGATAGACTGCTTCTGAATCTGTAACCAGACCAAAGCAGTGGGGATGTGTGTAGATGCTATGTTCAGTAACGGATGAAGGAATTAGCTTAAATGGTTTCTGTTATGTTTGCTAACTGTACTGACAAAACTCAACAATTCTATACTGAAGCATTCATATCTACAACCCTGTAAAACATTACTGTGTATGTTAATAAATTCTATGCTCATTCAATAAATGCAATACTTAACACATCGGAGTTATTATCTTATATTTGTCAGTGTGAGTTGTGTGAAAAGAATCCCAGTAGTCTCTGGCAGACTTACAAACCAGCCTTACCAGTGATATAACATAGTCAGCGTTATCTTTTGCTCCCTGGCCTTCTAACGTTGTGTCAGAGAGAATTTATCAGTGGAAGTGGTCCAAGAAATCATCTTTAAACTGATACCGTACAGTCAGCTTGGTCAGTACCATGTCTAACTTTTCTTTCACAGAAACATGACTGCTTTAGGGAAAAGGCTGCCTATAGCAAGAAAAATCCCGTTTCATGCTTTAAGCTGTTAAAATCAAACACACCAAAGATGTTGAGATAGTGTTGCTTGCGTAAAACGGCTTTGCAGACTGCGCTATCTGCTGTCTATCTGAAAGACAAGTTATTTTCAGCCACGGAGATTAATGTGTGCTGCCGCACTGAGACTTTCCTCCTCACTGAGAAGGAAAGTCAGAGCTTTCTCTGCAGGATAGAAAAGATAGCTTGAAAACAAAATAAAAAATAAAACGTGTCAGTCAGCTACTCACACGACAGCTTCAGATAAAAAATGAGGAATGAACAGCAGTAACTGTGCTTTAACTGAATGTTTGCTTAACACTGCTTTATCTATAGTTTTAACTATAGTTACATCTCCAGTGTGGAGAATCTGGTGGCCCTGGGGAATTGTGCTTGCATTGGATCCACTCGACCTCCTATCATGAATTGTTAATGCATACCAGCATAAAGTTGCTCTGAGTGTTCACCTTTATCCTGTGATGAAACAGCTTTTATAGGATCGCCCTATCCAAAAGAGAGATGTCACTGAATGGTTATAAGAGGTAAAGAAAGTGGATGGATGTATTATTTTCTTGGTAAGACTTGATTATTATTAGCTGTTATGCTGAAAACACAGATCCTGTTGTTAAAAAAAGGATCCTGGCAGCACAATCATGAGCATTATTGTGACTTTTCCCCCTCAAATTTTAAATCAATAAAACACTTCTCACCTTGTGTCGCATGAAGTAAAAAAAGAAAAGGACAGCTAAATGACACGGTGTACTTACGTTGAAGTAGGTACTGTGGATTAATGGATGGCCTTCAACCAAAGTGGAGCCATGATTGGTCACTTTAGTTGTTTACTGCAGTGTGATGAATGTTCAAAAATAAAGTATGATCACAAAGTGGTTGCAGTTTGAAAGCAAAGTGGTATGTCACTGCCCTTATCTCAAATAAGGACAGGCAATTATCACTTGACAGTTGAAGCACCTCTTCCTCGATGTAGTGTAAACAAATCAAGATGCGGGACTAAGTAGAATGAATTTAAGGACAGTGAAACTCATACAGAACCTGTTTCAGTATTTGCACATAAAATAAATCCATTTTCTTCTCATGTTTAGTAATGTCGGGTACAATCAGAGGCTTACATAACTTAGCCAGCAGGGTAATAGATGTTGTTGCTGACAATGAGGATAGTTTTTTTTTAATCATTTTTATGTGTGGGAAGGAGTGAGTTTCAGTCCAGTCTCATAAAAGTTCTACTGTAGTTGTTTTCATATGAGGATATATCAGTGCGCACAGGAGTACAGGTGAGTGCAAGCTTTGCAAAAAAAAGGAAAAAAAGGCTTAGGTCTGTTTTGTTAGTATGCTGAATGGCATGCTGGGAACTCTTTTTTTTTTTAGATTGATATCTTGCAAGTCTTAGGATGAGACCTCTCAGCATGTTGAGAATAAAAGGAAGACTTAGACCAGTGGTTGAACCTTACTCCTTGTTCATCAATGATGTGATTAGTTTGTTGTGCAATGTTTTAATTGCAAAAAACAAAACAAAAAAACCCCCGGATGTATCTTTATCTTTATGGTTAAGCTTGTATTCAACAAGCCATACCCTTGTTGAATACTGTGGTAAAGATGGCTGTATAAAGGCTGTATGAAGTCATAAATTAACAGAAAAGTACACCTCTGAGCTCCTTTATTCACCTACATTTATCAGCTGTTCTACAAATCTTCAAGAATCACTATATTACAGTAATGGTCCCAGTCGAGCATCCAGTTAGTTCTAAGTTTACTGGAAAAATGGGCTCATACACTGTGTGATATCGAATTGTTGAAACCAAGGCCCTTTTACCATACCTTGCCTATGTTTGGCTTTGGGTTTTCAGCATAAAACTAGCTGATCACCTTATAAGGCTCTCTAAAAAAAGTGTAATTGTATAAGGGCATTCAAGGATGGCAAAGTTAATTTGTTACTTGGAAACCAGCACATTCCTTGTTGTTCTTGGGAAAGACATAAACACACTGTTCTGGGGGTGCTTAACCTGTTTGTCTCCACAATTTGACTTTAGTGTTTATACACCCGTGTATAAACACAGCATGTTATAAGTGGCAAAGGTAAGGTCTTTGTAACCCTCAAGAAACAAGCAGCTACCTTTCACAACAAGGCGGTGAGGGTTAGCCTTTGCCTTTAGCACGTTAGGCTTCCCTGAGATGTCAATGATAAATATCTAATGTTAGATTAATAATATAATTTATTGTGTGTCCTTTACTCCCTTTACTGTTCAAGATCCTGAAGCGAACAGCAAAAAGCAAAAGGATCATTGCACTGACACCATTGTTGTTTTGAAGAAAGCAAGATGACACCGCAAGCACTTAAACTTGTTCTCTTCATATAAAAAAGAATTTAAAAAAAGAAAAAGAAAACATGATTATTAATGCGTTTACTGGTTTTTGCTGCTCTCAAGTGGTCGAAAATATTACTACATATGCACAGAACTACATATGAATTTCCTCTGAGTTCCATGTAACTTTAGTTTGTAGGCATGTGTTCATTATCTTCTTAATTTCTATTCTCCCTATTAAATGTAAACACACTGAGCCATTATTGTTACATTGCTACCTCAAGACAGCAAATGTTTTTGAGTCGCCTGCCCAGACTGTGATTCTGATAATTTCCTGTTACACTGAAAATTATCCTATGTTGTAGTTATAAAAAAGACTTTTGATTTACACGAATATTATTATTAAATTAATAAAAAATATAAATAGTCATATCTACCTTTTTGTACCCTTTTGGCGTTAAATAGTTAATAAAGTTTAAATTTAATCAAAGAAGGACAAAGAGGTATATATCGGTTACAATTCTCCCCAAAGAGTTAAATTCTAATGTCCTTTTCTGTGTTTGTTTTAAATACTTTATTATTTCGCGATGACAAGAGGAGAAAGGAGAATGACGACAGTCTCGCGAGATTTTTGTTAGAGGTCAAAGTTGGCTTTTCCATGTGTGCATGTCCCTGTATGTGCAGGTTTACTACAGAGCGTTTCTGTGGGACTTAGCTACAGTTTCCCCGGTGTTCATATATGTTTATGAGCGTGGTTATTTAACCTTGTTTAAATATTTAGGAGACCTTTTTAAAGTTGGTTTTAGTTTGTTAAATTCTTCGCTAATACGCGCTAGCCTCGGCTTTTCAGCTGGTAGAGCAGATTGAATCTTTTGCAGTCTCTTTTAGCTGCTAGATCTTCTAAAGATGGTTTAGCGTGACATGTTTCGGGTCAGGCCGCTGCTGAGTGCCTTAGTTAACCACCGACAGACGTTAAAGACAAACGGTAAGCCAACCTGACAGAAGCTATGTGACAGTATGTGCATTTGCAGTCTCCAGACTGTGGTTGGTTAGCTTCTGGTATCTTAATTCACTCATCGAACCAACTGGAAACAAATGCATCAGTGGTAAACATATATATATTTATGTGTAGTATATTTGTTTGTGAAGGTGTTTTATCGCCACACAGTATAAATGTAGAAGGCATCACGAGTGTCTGTCCGATTTTTGCTGTTTATTACTATTTTGTTTAGATTTATTACCTTTATATTGTCTTTATCGTACTTCCAATCTTAAAAGGCCTCTCAATCCGTGTATCACAGAACAGGGTAGTAGCTGTCACTGTTTAATTTCTGTGTTTCCTTCACAGGGGGTCTTTATAAGCCCTTTTGCACGATGAGTGAAGGAGGCATGGATAAGCAGACAGCTACACTGTTAAAAAGGACCAATGAGGAAAATGAAGACTCTGCTGAGAAGGTCCAGGCAGCTAAAAGGGTGAAGACAGATGGGGAACACGCTGAAGATGAAAAGAAATATCCAAAGAAGAAAGTGGTCCTGCTCATGGCGTACTCGGGAAAAGGATATTACGGGATGCAGGTATAAATAATAATAATAATAATAATAATAATGATAATAATGATAATAATACATTTTATTTAAAAATAGAACCTTTCAAAGCACCCAAGGACACTGTACAACAGATAAAGATACATTTATATTCTGCAGTTGTCTTGTTTTAAAGTTTTTCTGCCCTTTACCACACTTTTTTGATAAAAGCTTATTTCGGCTGCTCACATATTCATGAGTCGCTACAGCAGGTAGCTCCATGTGTTTCATTTGGCATTTTTTATGCCGGATACCCTTCTGGGGTGGACAATAGAGAATAAATGTAGTTATATACGTTTATAAAAACAGATCTTAGGTGAGCCACACAGTAAGAAGGTCCTGGGTTTGACTCCTCCATCTAGCTATGGATTTTGCATGTTCTCCCCGTGTCTGTGGGTTGTCCCTGGGTACTCAGGCTTCCTCCCACACTCCAAAGACATGCTGTCAGTGGGTTTAGGTTAATTGGTGATTCCAAACTGTGAATGTGAGTGTGAATGGTTGCCTGCCTCTCTGTGTTAGTCCTGTGACAGATTGGCGACCTGTTCAGGGTGTTGCCACCTCTTACCCTATGACAGTTGGGATGGGCTCCAGCCCCCCATATCCCTGAATTGAATAAGCTGAAGAAAGTCAATGGTTGGCTGGATGAAACAGATCTTAGATATGAGACTGGTGGAAACAGATGAAGATCAGCCGCTGCCATCAGTGAATGTCATCATAATTAGTGGCAGTCAATGGCACATAGAAAACACTGGCCAATAAAGTGCAACATCCTTATTATTTTCATTATTTATTTATTTATTCCAGAGAAATCCTGGAAACTCTCAGTTCAGGACCATTGAAGATGATCTGGTTGCTGCTCTTATTAAATCTGGCTGCATTCCTGAAAACCACGGTGATGAGATGAAGAAGATGTCTTTCCAAAGATGTGCCAGAACAGATAAGGTATGTGCTGCTCAGTGCACAATAAGAATTTACTGGTCAAAGCTTGGCCAACAAGGCAGATTAGAGGATATGTATCTTTACATGTTATCTGTCTGTTAATGTTGTGCTGGTTTTATTTCTTGTCATCATGTAATTGTTAATAAGAATTAATTAAATTGTGTATTTCATTGTTAGTATTTATTTATGTGTTTAGTTATGTCGTTGACTTTTATATGAATGTATTCAGGGTGTGTCTGCTGCTGGCCAAGTGGTGTCTCTAAAAGTGAGGTTGATTGATGATATCATTGAAAAAATCAACGAGCATCTGCCACCGCAGATCAAAGTGCTTGGTGAGACACTACTTTATATCGTGAATTACAAGTCTAGGTTTTTGGTATGATGAGTACTGTTGGCATGAGTGTGTATGATTCTTTTTTTTTTTTCAACTTTTGAACCCACAGGACTAAAACGGGTGACGCAGGGTTTCAATTCTAAAAATAACTGTGATGCTCGTACGTACTCGTACATGCTTCCAACACTGGCCTTTTCCCCAAAAGACTATGATACCGGGAATATAGCAGCATTTCGCCTGGAACCAGAGACACTACAGAAGGTGAATCGCCTTTTTGCTCTCTACAAAGGCACACATAACTTCCACAACTTCACCTCTCAGAAGGCTCCAAGCGACCCCAGTGCCCGCCGCTACATCACAGAGATGTCCTGTGGGGAGCCTTTTATCCGCAGAAATTATGAGTTTGCAGTGATTACTGTGCGAGGCCAGAGCTTTATGCTGCATCAAATCCGCAAGATGATTGGCTTGGTGATTGCAGTGGTCAAGGGCTATGCAAAGGAGGAGGTGATGGAGCGGAGCTGGGGACATGAGAAGGTAGATGTCCCCAAAGCTCCGGGACTTGGCCTCATCCTGGAAAGGGTTCACTTTGACCGGTACAACAAACGTTTTGGGGGGGACGGGCTGCATGAGAAGCTGGAATGGGATCGCGAGGAGGAGGAAATCAAGGCCTTTAAAGAGGCACACATCTACCCCACCATTATCGAGACTGAGTGTGAAGAGGGCTCCATGGTCAGCTGGATGGCCACTCTCCCCATCCATGACTTTGAGGCCACATCTATTGAAGTGCAAGACGATAAAGTTAAAAAACAGGTATCCAAGAAGATACATTTATTTTAAAATGTTTTTTAACATTGAAAATCTGTTTTTTATTTTTAAATATAATTGTTCTCTTCCTGCAGGATGATGCAGATGAAGGAAATGACTCTGATTAGGCCACTCTGCCAGCAGAAAGAAGATGCATCATCATGTGGTTTTTTTTTTGTTTGTTTTTTTAAATGCTGATACAGACATTTTCACTGGGATCAAATCTTGTTTCTTTTATACAAATGTTATTAACAAGCAAGTAATAAAAGCTTCTGTTCTTTAATGCAACCTGCTTGGTTTCCTAATATTAGTTTACCACTAAAACGACTTTGGATAGCTGGTTTGTTTGATGTTTCTGCAGTAATAACTGGCTGCCTACTCTTGAAAATAGACTCTTAATGCTACAGCGACATTTAAATTGTCAGAAGAATTGTGTACTACTGCATACTCAAATAACAACATCAACTTATGACGTTTCATCTCTTAATAAGTTTAAATCCCACATTTATGACTTTCTCTGATAATAGCAGTGAGCTGTATTTACAGGACTTTGCAAAAGTCTTGGCCCACTCCTCATTTCTTTATATTTTATTTTCAAGAAGAAGTTTTTTTAAAGTGATCTTCAGCAATAATCCTCTGGGCTTTCTGAAGGACTCTAAAAGTTTTTCTTTGGACACTGGTTGCTTTTTCACTCATTGACAGTTCTTTGAAGGAATCTTTTTCAGTTTGTTAAACTATTTAATGATGACCTATGGCTATGTGATTACTTAATGTGGGGAGGTTCAGGCAGCAATGTAAGAGAGCGTTGCAAAGCAAGGACGTGCCAGAAGAAAGATCAACACATCTGTAAAGCAAGCAGTACACAGGGGCGCCAAAACGACCCCAGTGCCTGCCACTACATCACAGAGATGTCCTGTGATGAGCCTTGAAACAGCGAGTTGTTCTAAACAGATAATTATGAATTTCAAAATCTTATTTGGTTTTCATATGTGCCCATTTTCAGTGATATAACTTTTTCAACCGTCTCTTGATTTTGCCACATTTTTCAAGTAACCTATATTTGACAACAGCATAATAAAACATGAAATTCTGTTTTTGGTGTTCCACCAAAATCTTTAGTGTGCCCCATATGGCCACCCTATGAAAACATTCTGGAGGTGCCCCTGGCAGTATATTTAACATAGTACATCTGTCTTATGTGTCCTTCAGTCCACTGTCAGAAGTATAAGGAAAATCTAATTAATATTATAAAGCAAAAGGTTTTATAAGGGTGCCATATTTCTGGAAGATAGACGAACATCACTGAGAGGTTATGACGCTTCACACTCCATACCAGCTGGTGGCGGTAACGCACCAGTTCCTGCTTTATTACCCGCAGTAAACCTCAAAGAAGAAGCACCATCAAGTAAACATGGCACCGGCCAAGAAGCGCAACGTGAGTTCGGTAAAAACAGCAGAAAAGAGTGCAAAAAAAGCCAAAGTAGATCTCAGCAAAACTGTCGAGCGTATCCTCGAGAGCAGAAAGCATGCCAACGATGTTTTCGACATTCTCGAGAGCCTTCAGGTATAAATTTCCACACCTAAACATCCACGCTGTACTAAAACCTTGCCATTTAGCTAACCTTAGCATGATCACCGCTGGGCAGCTTTAAGTAAGTGTACGTGTTTGTTTCCTTCGTGTTTGTGAGCAGGCAGAACAAGAGAAGGAGGTTATCGGCGCAGTCGCTGCGTGCAGCGAGCTGTTCTGTGCGCTGCTGGAGAGGAAGGAGCTGTTCTTGGGAAAGCTCCCTGGAGAGGAGGACGCATTGAGCGGTTAGTATACGATTGTAACCCGATTACCAAAAGCAGTTCTGAGGTGGATGTATGCGTGTTGCTCCTGTCGCCATTTACCTGGGTTTGTCTGGTCCAGGGGGCTACAGCGCCGAGGACAAGTACCGGATATTTATGCGACACCGGTACACCAGTTGTGTTGAGATCCTGTTAGAGCACCTCAGCCATGAGCAGTATGACATCAAGGTGAGCTGTCTCTCTGTGACTTCTCCTTCCGTCACACGTTAATTAAACTTAAGAGAAACAAATTAATACGTGTCTTCACTTTTTGACTGTTAGAACGAAAGGCTCACATTAGACATGTTTGCTGGGGGTTCAGTATCTATTCTGCACAGACGTGTTGAAAGTTTCTGTGTTGTACGGGGAGTTATCTTTTACAGTTTTGCATTGTGCAATTGATTACGTTGTTTGCAGTTCTTGGGGACTTGAGGGAGGCAATGATATTCATTTAAATAAGAAAAATACATGATTGGATAACTTTTTGGATACAGGAGAGTGCCATGTGCTGCCTGATGAAATTTGCTGCCGGAGAAGGACGGCATCCTCTTGAGGACTTGGACTGGAGTGAACATTACAGCTTCCCAAGGGAACTGATCCAGGTAGCATTTTGGCTATGATTTCTAGGATTAATAAGTATTAATAATTTCTGTGTTCTTTTGGGTGACTTAAGTACTTCTTTCAGCTTATTACCCAAGGCAAAAATAGCTGTTCCCGAAAGATACACTTTGTCATTTGTGGCTCCTCCTGATATTTCTTTTTTCTTGTACTGCCAGGCACTGGTGGACAACCTTCTGTCTAAAGCTACAGACAATTCCCTGCTGATCTCCAGGTTCCAGGAGTTTCTCGAGATGGAGGATGTGCGCTATTATGTAATGAGCTCCATCCGGGACAACGTCGGCAAAGTCATGGACAAAAGCAAAGGGGTAGGAAATCATCACCTGTCTGCTGTAGACGTTTACGTGGATGCTTTCTTTCTGTGTTAAAGACATAATGGGATTTGCTAAATACTGCTTGTTTGTTCCTTCCAGGCTGTGGTGCCTGTATATCAGAACAATGTGTTCACACTCATGTCCAGCATCAGCATGCCAAACCAGGAGTCAGAGCTGACCAATTTTATGGTCAAACAGGAAGGTAATACTTTTTAAGATGTGATAATCACAGTGGGAGTCCCTCTGTCTTTTGTCGTGATGATAAAATGTCACTGCAGAGGGAGAAAATCCAGTTTGGGGACTTTTTTTTTTTTTTATAAGTCAATAATGGCATTTTTTTTCTCAGCCAAGCATGAGGACTGGAAAGCTGCCAAGCTGCATGTAAGTAAAATACTTTAAATCAAATCTTCACATTTCTGTTTGCCAACAAAAAGGTTTTCTGAATGCTATTAGATCTTCTGCCACACAGGAACATAAGCGTGTCTTTGAGAGGATGTGGCTTGGCTTTCTGAAGTATAAGGTAAGTAGATTAGACCAACAGTCTCTTCTCTGTTTTGTGCTCTGTGATATGTCTCATTAATGTTTGATGTCTGTATTGTAGTTGCCAAACAGCATGTATAAAAAGGTCCTGGTGATACTACATGACTCCATTCTGCCGTATATGAGCAAACCCACGCTCATGATCGACTTCTTGACTGCTGCCTATGAAATTGGTAAGTTATGTGTGTGCTCGTGGCTCTATGCTGACGGTACTTCACCATGAGGTCGACTGACATCTGTAACTTTTA